AAAAAAAAAAAAAAAAAAAAAAGGAAAGAAACGGATGCTATTCCCTAAGAATCAACAATGGCTTCAAAAATTTGTCACATGCATTTCATCGTTGCTGTATCTATATTTTTCAGCCTAGCTATTCCTCCTCCTTCTCCTCCTCCTTCTTCAGCCTAATGCTTTGGTTTCAAAGCAAAAAGTTTTTTTTTACAACTCTTTCAAGGATGTTAATGGTGTTGTACATGGGTGGAAGGGGGAAAAAAAAAAGAACATTTTTTTTTCTTACTAATTCTAGATTTAGTAGATTATAAGTGGTTCTTTGCTTTTGCTTTTGCTTGACTCTTGTCTTTATTCCACATATATATCCCTGTATGATTTTTTTACATTTATGGTTGGTATACGGAAAGCAGTAATTATATTTTTATTTTCACTGTTCATTTCTGTGTTCTATTCACGAGTACTATTATTACTATTATTATTACTATGATTCTTAGTATTACGATTATTATTATTATTACTATTATTAGCTGATTCCGAAAAATCTCAAAATTAATTTATTATTATTGGTTATTATTATTATTATTATTATTATTATTATTATTATTATATTATTATTATTATTATTATTATTATTATTATTATTATATTATTATTATTATTATTATTATTATTATTATTATTATTGTTATTATTATTATTATTAATAATAATAATAATTATTATTATTATTATTATTATTATTACTAGAAAATATTAGTTTATATATGAAAGGAAAACAATACTTTATTATTTATATTGTTATTGTTGTTGTTATTGTTATTGTTGTTGTTATTATTATTGTTATTGTTATTAGCTATTATTATTATTATTATTATTATTATTATTATTATTATCGTCATTATTGTTGTTACTGCTAAGAGAACCAGTATTATGGAAGTAAAAATGTAAGGAAGTTTGTTATGCATATATAATGCGGAATATTATTACTATCTGAATCTGCAGTTCTTTTTTTATTAGTTCGGTATGAAAAAGTAAAGGGAAACAAATAT